CAATGTATTTCTCACAGCCGCGCGCTTTCCTTCCTCTCGTTCGACCTCAGCCCAGACAAGCGCCGCTCGCCTTAAGCGTCAACTCTGCATCCTGATTGGCTCTCGTAAGCAATCCAGTAGGAAAGTTCTACTAGGATTCACGTTTTCATAATCTTTGTTCCCATCTATACATCGATGAGTTTCAGGCTGTAGTTCACACAGCTTGTATGTACAGAAGTCTGTGGTAGTATATATACATACTTACAGTTTGAAACTCAGTGGTTTGTACAGATGAGAAAAATGATGATAAAAATGCAGGTCCAAGCATCAATGAACAAGACTATACGTTTGAAGAGCGTGCGACTTTCTAACTCTTCGTGCATCGAGAGTTAGAAAGTCGCACGCTTTTCAGAAATGCCTCGATCCGCGCGCAACTTCAGATGGCCAGGCATTAATGACGCCGCGTGTACACGCATCGGCATAAATGCTGTCCCTATCCTTGTGAGGTGCACGCACACAACTAGAGTCCCTGTAGTTGTGTGCGTGCACCTCACAAGGATAGGGACAGCATTTATGCCGGTGCGTGTACACTGCTGGTAACTACAGCTCGCAATATAGTTAAGAAGCTGTTAGTTTGTTTTCCGTTCCTCACGTTTTATCGCATCTTGAGTGCCTCGGATATCTAACGCGGCGTACAGTAATATCTTTATCGTTACGACGGCGATTGTTTTGATATTTATTTTCGGGACATTTCTATGGAGCGGAAAAATTTCGAAACCGTGCGGCGCACATTGGACTTGGGAGAACAGGCGTTAATGTTTACTTTAATTTGCGCTTTTAAATGATGAGGTCAGTCGATGCACCGGAGTAATTGCGTCACGCCTCGATTCTGTTAGACCCGGGATCGAAGAGTCACGCGAAACGGGAGAGCTCGCTTTTCGCACATTGTAATAAATTGGTTCTTACCTCTCCGACGTGTCCACGTATGCACATGCATGCGTCGTCGACGCGAGACTCCATTTTCCGCGGCTCTGGTAAGAAATGCATTTAAGCGACGCGCGTGTGCGCGTACACGGCCGCGATTGTTCCGCGAAGAAGACGAGTCCGCATTCTCTTGCATTGGCATGATGCAATTTTACGGTAACGATTATATATAAATATAAAAGGCATTAACTGCAACTGATCTCGCTCGCGTGCGGCAACAGTGAAGTTAATTAAAATCGCCGTCAATTCCGCGTTGCCGCGCGCGCCGTCGGCTCGCGCGCGCGTGACGCGATTTGACAATGGGCGCGTCGCGAGAGGGACGTGTCGGATCTTCGGGCCCCGTCTCGCTCTCGCGGCGGTAAAAGATCCGTTTGTTTATTTCCACGCGGCACAATACTTAACGTACAACATTCTATGATGCCGCGCGCGGGACGATGACGAGCACGACGACAAGCCGGTGGCGAGCGATGGTGTGCGTCGCGTGTTTTGTTTGCGCGTTTTCTTTTGTCGCGTGTATGTCCAGCTGCGCGCTGAGAACGCGGCCGGCTCATGCAAATGCACGCCGGCACAATGTGCCTCAATAGCCTCCACGTATTTATGCTATATGCTATCCGGTTCAGTATTTTCCACCACGACTGTTTATTTCTGCCTCGCGCGCGGAGAATACGCGAAAGAGAGAGGGATAGAGGGAGAGACTCTCTTTTTAGCGGGAAGGGTGGGAAAAAAGGGGAGACCGAAGGAAGCGGGAGGGAGCGAGAGAAGGACAACCCGCTGTGGCAAGCAAGTGCCATCGATCGCGCGCGACGATCGTTACGTATTACCTCACCACCCTGTGCGCGTCGCGCGTGGAAACAAACGGAGTTACATTTTGTAATTACACCCCTCGGGTCGATGCCGACTTCGCGTAGTAATCGATCACGCGTTCCTGCGGCTCGTTTCAAAATTTACGACCCTCGAGTCTCTGTAACGTTGCGCATTATTTAACGCGATTGGAGATTCGTTGCCATTTTCTTAGATACTTGAAAACCACTGGCACGCGCTTCTCCGGTGAGCTCGACGCGACGATATTATCTCGTGGTATTATTTCATATCCCAAGAGGGGACACAATGCCAATTAAGCGCGGCGGGGCCACTATTTAATTCTTTTCTCCACTAACTGATTAATTGTCCCCAGTGGATACACGGTGGTTCGTACACGGAAAGAATTTTCTTTCAAAATTCACTCTCAAAATGGTGTAATCATTTGGAAAAACTTTATGAGGGTTTTTTGAAATGTCACCACTTTACTAGTAAAGCTCGTTTACTACGTAACTTACTTACATACATTTTACACTGAGAAAAAAGTATTTGAAAATTTATTTGTGGTATATAATGTTTATTTCACTGAAAATAACACAAATAAATTTTCAGACTTTTTTCTTTGTGTAAAATGTATGTAAGTATGTTATGTAGTAAACGAGCTTTACTAGTAAAGTGATAAAATTTTAAAAACTCTCATAATATTCATCGAAATGCCATGTTGTCCCGCGATTATATGATTTTCAGGATACAGAGTTTAAAAGAAAATTCTCCCCGTGTAAATTGCACTGAGAAAGGTTCATTAAAACGTACATTTAATTATTCACGCAAATCAATGAGTGAAGATAAAAATTAAATAACATTTACATCGTCTTAGCTCGTACGCTTGACTATTTCCCCCTTTAATTTGCACTACGTTAAACAAGCTTAATTTCTATTGAAAACAATCAAGCTCGTACGTAGCAAACAATAAGTTATAATTACGGGCCAATAAACGAGCGAGTATGGTTGTTACAATTGAAATTTGTTAACAAATATTGAGTTCTAAATGTAATTAAAAAAATACTGTTACGTGAAATTTATTTATAAGCTTAGAGTTGCAAAAATAACAACATACGTATGTACGTACCGCTTTATTTCCCTTCGCCATCCATGGCTTCAATTCATGCGGCGACACTGAAAGCAGTTTTACACGTGAATGGAAATGTGGCTAATTACACCGTGTCAAAATAATTTCGAATAATTTCGGTCACATTGCGCGTTAATTCGGATAAATCATTACGTTGCAACGTTATTTGTATTCCGGCTAACTCTCGGATTTCAGATATAGTCGAGCTTTATAACTCGAATGTGGGCTCGCGGTTAGGGAAGTGGTTCTACACCTTTTGTACCTTTTACATCTAGAACTGTCAACATTTGTGTGATACACAAATTATGTGGTTTTTGTGTACAGACCGACAGTGTTCCACTGTTCGGACCAAAATCGGAGAAGTATATCAGTTATAGGTTAAACCTTTAACTTATTCCATTGAGTAGATTTTTCTTAGGCTTCTAAACTTAATTTCAATGTTACCATGCTGTTCTCTGATTCAGTCCGAATAGTGGAACACTGTCGGTCTGCACACAGAGGCCACATAATTTGTATATTACGCAAATGCTTTTATGAATTGACAGTTCTAGGAGCAAATGGTGTAGAAAACCTCTAACTTATTCCAGTGAAAAGATTTTTTGGTAGGCTTGTAAACTTATTTTCAATGACACCATGCTGTTCTCCGATTCAGTGGAACACTGTCGGTCTGCACACAAAGGCCACATAATTTGTATATTACGCAAATGTTTTTTATGAACTGACAGTGCTAGGAGCAAAAGGTGCAAACGGTGCAGAATCACTCCAGCATCCCCTTAACGTTAAATAATTAGGCAACAGCACTATCAAATATCAGACAATTTTCCTCTAAAAAAAGACTTTATTGACGCGCATTTGCAAAAAAAACATTATGTTGTATAAGAAAAGCTATAGTTACAGCAATATTTAAAAAATCTGTTCGCGCCGTGGCGCCGAAAAAGAGTCGATACCGACCAAAGCGTGCCGCGTATATATTTTAATAAAGCTGGCAACACACCGTGTCTCGTTTTTTACGGCGAAAAGCGCGATTTAAAATAACGGCAATGTAAATAAAACTTTACATCATGAAATACGGAGCATAAAATATCACCAGTATCAATAGCACATAAAATACTCCATTGTGTGACATTTAGCGAAATATCATATTCGAATGGCGCGCCGCCGCCCGTGCGTCCTTGCGTCGCGGATCTTTGAGGTCTTTTATTTTTTAAATCGACGAGCGGCCCTTTATTCGCCGGGACAACAGAAATGCCAGTGTCACCTCGCGAGGAAAATGAATATTAATATAAGCACGCCGGCCGCGGCCGAGCGATTTCCTCGGCGGGGCAACGAATAATATAATAGCCGGTCCGCGGGAGATGCGTCTGCGACCGAGAGGGCGAGGCGCCCGAAGACGAAGTGTTCTCATTATACCCGGTGATTTATGTGCGTGCCACCTTGCCGTCGGAAGAGATTCTAGGTTAGAAATAAAGTTAAAAGAAAAATAAGGCTTACGGGGTGCAAAGTCGAGAAAGTGTGGAGGGGGCGGGGGGCGCCGCGGCCCGCGGAATATATTACAAAAATAAGCTCGCCCCGGCGAGAGCGGCGAGACGCTCCGCGGCGCGGCGCGGCGTGCGGAAAAGCGCCGAAAAAACTTTGAAACTCCGTGGAGCCGAGGAGAGATCGATGCCCCTCTCGACCTGCCCCGCCGTGTAACTTTTCTTGTTTATCGAGGCGCGGGAATAAAAATCCCCCGGTCACGATTCGCGCGACCGTGCGAATAACTGGCGTATTTCGTGAACAATTTTTGCGACTCGTTGCCGACGGAATCTCTCAAAGGGCGCAGGAGGAGATAACAATTGGGGTTGAGTCGGTCTTTAGGACCTGTCGAAGACAGCTAATTGTTTAGCGTCTCTTGCATAAAGAAACTCTTATAACGAAAAGAGAAAGGGACATCTAGCGGTTTTACTGCGTCTGTTCATTTATCTCTTCATACTTATTTATGCGCACTGCGACTTGTTTCTGCCTTGCAATATTTTATGTAAACAATCGGTTGAATACGCAACGTATATTTATTTAGATTTTTATATCAATCGCAAATAGTACAGGAATATTTATATTAGTCTTTTCTGCTGTTTACTGGGTTTGTTACCACCACAATTACGCTGTTACGTGTTAATAATCGTGATGCTGCTTTGTTTCAGGGACACATCGGTGAAAATCCATTCGACAACGGTTCGTGGGGAAAGGAGCATTTTCAGCCATCGACAGTTCCCTGGCAGTTGAATCCGCGCAGCCACGGTCGTCCTAGTGTGAGTACCTTTATTCTTTTCTACCTCGTCTAACTTATAGCGCAAACTGCATCGATTACAAGTATCGTGGAATATCGTTAGGCGGCAAAAAAAAAAAATTCAATCTCACATTCTCCCGTGATTGATAAAATCTCAACTTTTAAAATGAAACTTAGGCTCGTATTTTTCACACATTAAATTAAATATCGTTCATTTTTAGCAAATTAATAAGATACGGTCAATGAACAAAAACAAGATCTTAGAATGCGATAAAAATACTCATTTAATAAAATACAATAAATATATGAATAAACGTTTCGACTTAAATTATGCGCAAATTAACGAAACAGTAAAAAGTGTGAAGAATCACTTTACTAACGCGAACTTTAATTAAAATCGGGCCTGGCAGACAGTTGGATTGTGTAGAGCGCAACCTAAAAGTAAAGTTAAAATTTACAATTTTCTAACACGAAACGGTTACATATTTGGCGTAATGCGATTTAGATATTATCGGCCCTAATTCTCGGGCTCGCGAGGGTAGATGCGTCAGATTTATAATTCCGGCGGGTAGGAGTGCTCGCGAAGAGGATGTGGACGGAAGGGGTGGAACGGGAAAAGAAATCCGGCGGCTCATTGTGTCGGCAGGTAGCAAAAATGCTGGCGGGATCGCCGCTTTCTCGGGCGTTTTCTCTCAGGAGTCGTCGGACTACCGTACCGTCGCGTCCCCGCCTCGGCAGCCTTCACCCCTTGGTCCGACCGTAGCCGACCACCCTCTTACGCTCGCGCTCGCTCTCCCGCACCACTCGTCCTGTCACCCGGTATTTATAATACGCTTTGTTTTCCCTCAGCTATTTGTCTTGGGTTCTCGGCTCTCCTTCGCTAACATTATTATCCCGCGTTTTATTTTTATTTAATTCCACCGTGCCGAGCTCCCACCCTCCCCGCGCGTCCCGCGTTATTTATCCTTCGTGGAAACTTAACGAGCGAGCGTATCGTCGAATCTGGACAGTTGTTTGTGCTCGTATCACCCGGCATTCTAATTCCCTCTATGCGAGATGCATTCTCCCACTGTGTGTAAAAATCTAGGATCGCGTTTAGATTATCATTGGAGATTATAGGCTTCGCAAGAGTACGTGACACGACGATTATTTCTTGCGTACACCAAGTTTCACGGTGTCATTTTGCATGACTCACATGCCGCGCGACTACGCGGTAATCTCCGTTCGAAATCTAAATCGCTCGACGTGCCAATATTTCACGTCATAATACGTGCAGGTCGCAGTGGCAATTTTGATGCCCGCTAATTTGTTTACTCCCGGCTCCCTCAATCACGCGCGAATCTTCAATCTTTACGATCTTCACATAAATTGTGCAACGTTTCCTTCATTCAATGTTGACTTCTCGTAAGATCTTTCGCACGCGCCTTGTCGTAGCATACACCGAGTTTCTTTCTTAAATTTACATATGATTTTCAGAATAAATTCTAGAAGAAAATTCTCCCCCCGTGTGCAAGTAATATGCGCGAAGAAAAAAATATCCGACGAGTCCCCGAACAATCTATAGTTGGCAATAATATAGTTGCACCTCCACGGATGACACACTTTGTGTTTACCTAAGGTGGATTAAACGCGCGTGGACTGTCACGCGCACGTGTGCAATCGACGCTCGTCTTCCTGATACCGTCGTATCGGGCGCGATCGTTTGCAAAGTAACAAAAGCAACCGAAACCACTGACGTCAGCGTTTCCGCGAGCGTATATACGCGACCGATGATCTCATGCGTGCATATACGTGTGCGCTTACCTAACCGCGGCGCGCAGCTCCTTTTACGCCGCGCGTACGTGTGGTCGTACGCACGAATTGCGCTATCGCGTACATGTCTACGTGACAACGTTGCGGCGCGGTACCGCTTGTTTGCTGCAACCACGTATGCATTTGTCAGCATCTCAAGAAGTATAATACATAGCGATATACATGTATCATTTCTCACCGGTTCTCTCCCCCGTCTCCGCGCGCGTCGATCTTATCCTCTTAAAATCAAATTCTTGCATGAAACTTTCGCGCTGCGAGGCACGCGGTGTCCCGCTTCTGACTCCAGTTTGCACGGCCGTTCGTCAGACACTTGCAGAAATGGAAATAATGGACAAACGTAACAACACGCAAGAATAACCAATGCGAGTATAAGGCAATATGTAGATAGCCTATACGTGTAATTTATTAATACCGTTTCTTTCCACATTCGTCCTGCGAGCCGATTTCTTTTCGGACATACGCAGTTTTCATATAGATGGAGTTCACATTTTTAAATTACAAGATCTGCATCTTGCCTTAGACTCGTATTGGATATTCTTGTGTGTCGTTTAGTTTCAATGAGAGTCCTACTTGAGCTCTAATGGAAAAACGATTTCGGGAAATTTAACTCGGATGCCGCGGAGAAGCGGCGAGATTTTAACGATGGAGAGAAAGAGAGCCGTGTCGCGCTGAGGGCAGGGGTAAACAGCGCGATCTCTGCTAAACCGCGGGGCTACGATAAATTTTCCCAATAGTCATAATTTCTTGATAACAATTAAAGTAATTTGGCGTTACGTTATTTTGCCCCTCGCGGAGTTTGCATAATCGGCCCGCGAGATTTCGAGAGCTCGCCCGTGCCGAGCGAGTATTCCGCGCGTCTCGATATAGCCGAAATTTCCGGCGGAAGAACGTTGATTCTCTCACACCGCCCTCATAATCTCAGCCACGCCTGTAGTAATATGAATCGCGGCAAAAATCAGAACGGGGGTGGCTCTTAGCGCGTCCCCGTAGCAGCCCCTGGGTTTTAAGATATGCAGAGCACAACGCACGCTTTCCTAGCGAGACTATTTTAATACGAATGAGGGCGGGAGGATCAGACGAAAGCGCGATGGTACGGCGGGCCGGCTCGGAAGATCTACTTCTTGATTACAGAACTTTTTACCTAATTACATAACATTGTTACCATTTACAAAGTCGCGTCGGGTCTGCGCCGGCTGACTACTAATTAGAATCCTCGATTAGCACCCGCGGCGACATCGTATTCCATTTCGATAAGTCTCGCGACATTTTGCCGGTTCTCGTAATAAAAGGGTTGCGAGGGACCGCGTGACAGGGTAATTTTTAATGTTGCCACGCCGGTAATAATACATAATTGAGCGCGTCATGTTTGGAATGTGTAATGTTCCTTCGTGAGGTAAATGAAGATGGCGAACGTTATCTCGGGCGATACCTAAAGATAACGACGTGGCGAAAATTATATCGCACAAGCGCGTTTATCTGAAATCTATATTATTTAGTTGTAATCTCCCGCGCAAAATTTTCGAGCAGTTGTCATGAGATATTCTTACAACGAATAAATCTTTTCATTTGTATCCTGCCATCGAGCCGGTTATTTTTACAAGAAAGCGAAGTCGCGAACTGTATTCATGTGACACGTGACACGGGCAAACTACTTTGCGGGATAAAACTTTGAATCCCATTTTTCAGACGTTCGCAAATAATTAGATATACCGAATCGCGCCAGACTAGCGCGTCGCGGAATCGAGGGTATCAAAGGTTCAGAAAGAGTCGAATTTATCCCCGAGACTTAAGGTTCTTATCGGAAAGATGTGAGGGTCGTAGAGATAGTCATGCGCGAGGGACGAGCGCCCGACGATGCAGACATTAAGACGTCTGGTCCTCGACCTCCGGCTTTCCGCCCCGCGCCAACCCCTTTAGACGACCGGAGGTTTACCCCGTCTTCATTGTCCTCTAATTCTCATCTGATCCTCACATTACGTAATTTTCTCTTTATTATTTTATAATTCCCGGCTCTCGAGCCCCGCGCTCATCCGACTTCAGGTCCGCACGAACTCATCCCCCGCAACGCATACTAATGCACCCTGCATTTATTAATTATTCCGTGCTAGTTACCCCGGCTTCTCGTCTGGCCGTCGCAATGATAGATTAAACCACCTAGATTCGGGAGCCCGCGATGCGAATCCCGCTCGTCACCGTGATGATACGTGCTCGGAAATTTTTTCCTTCCGCGAATCGATAGAGGCCGGAGTATCCGCTTCTCAATTCTGCACCGCGGTACCTGCCATGAATTACGGATAATAAACAGCGGAGGCTACGCTCTCGACATTGGTAATTGCATTTGTTAAAATTATAAACGTGTTACTTTTACAGTGTTGAACTGTAAAGGTTATCTGTTTACACTGTTGAACGTTTCATTTTTATGTAAAATTAATTGTAAGATGTACTCTCTAAAATTTTTCGAGTGAAATTTTTACTCGAATCATGGCGTCACTGACCACTTCGCTCTAGTCGAGTGAACAGATACTCCGATAGAGTGAATTAATTCAGCGTCACACTATGCGCAGTTCGTAATGCGCGATTCGTGATTCGCAGAAATTCGCTGGACATTCGTTATTACTTGCCACATTATTCGTGATTTGCAGTTTATCACTCGTAGTTTGTTATTTGTCGTTTTGTTCCTGTTAACTTCAACAACTTTTCACTTTTACCTGTCATTACAGGACTTGCGTCTACATAAGTCTACAATTAGTCAAGTTTCAATGTTAGTAAAAAAAACCACTACTTTCGTCCATTTTTCCGTGCGCAATTCGCCATTCGCAGTAATTGGCTAGTCGAGCGGGTTTTTGACGAAAGCAGTGGTTTTTGACTAACGATTCTACGATCGTAGAAGAGGGAGTTAGCCTATGTTTCTCTCTCACTCGCAGAAATTTGACCAACTCTTATGGCCAGTCTTTGATTACAGGGTCTCTAGTAAGTAGAATCGCGACTGTCCGATATGTAAGAAACCCTGTCAGGAACCGGGACGGTTCTTCCATCACAGTCGGGAGAATAAGCGAAACTGTCACGTAAATTATAGATTTTCGGTACTGACTGTGAATATTGGAATACAGCCTCTACGTGCGACGGTGTCTCGTCCATGAATTTGATACTGCTAACAATAATCGATTACTGTAAAACGTAGCACTCTTTTCAGAGTTGTAGAATCAATCC